CAATGTGGCCACCAGTCTAGGTGACTGGAAACTGCGTGACACAAGATCGAATCCACCAGCAAGCACCAGTTCCCCCAAGATTACAGGTACACCTTGCAGATGAGTGCCAACAGCACGAAGCCCGGGTCCAGGGTTTCCTGTCGACTACCTCCAACCACCATCTGATTTCAGTATAGTGCCTGCAGTGTCGAGTCACCTAGACTGGTGGCCATATTGCAACATGGTCAATAGCATCCGATCTGCACTAATAAGGACTAGACACGCATGATATTGATCACCACCCAGTGATCAACCAATTGTGAAATGTCATGGTGTTTGACTGCTAATTGATTTTCATGTAGGCGAAGGTGAAGAGGGCGTCTGCTTTGTCCGATGTAGTGTTTTTCACAGTCGGCACAATTTAATTTGTAGATGATGTTTGATTTTTTTCCTTTGTTATTTCATCTTTTGGTTTGCATAGGATTGATTGTAGTGATTTTGTCGGTTTGTGTGCCACATCTATCCCGAAGGTTTTCAGCAGTCTCGTTGCGGTTTCTCATATGCCTTTTATGTATTGTAGGGCGATCCTTTTGTTCATTTCCGTGTTTGACTTGCGATGGTATTATTCTATTATTTTGAGTGTCACATTTCTGACTATCTGTTCATTCGATCACAGTGGTTTTCTTCCACGTCAGTTCCTCCAACTTTGTGACTGATTTCAATGTTTTACATACATGTCAGAATGTCTATGATATTCTGACAAGTGTAAATTTGAATTTCTGATAATTCGTGACTCAATATAATCCACTTCCTCTCCGTAAATCAATCAGTCAATCAACGAATTGTGACTGTAAATGAATAAACACCGGTTTGTGTGGTACGGCAAAACAAGACAGAATACTTAGATCAATCCAAATCACAATAAGTGTAATTCTGTCCATGTCATACATCACATACACTTGAATGTGTTCATTATGACTTGAAATAAACAATACGATTGGGATAAATCTGTTCATATTTTGACAGATCTGATCACATAATGATTTGGCATACATGGTGTCGAATCCAACGATAGTGGAAAGATACAAGTAAAACAATACCAAGTGAGTTTAACATAGTGGCGTTTGAAGTGAATGATACTGGGTTCGAGTCCCAGAGTGAACGTCAACTATCCAGCTGACGAGCCCAAAATAGAACGAAACGCGCGTCCTGGATTCAACTGTTGTTCACTATCCATCTTTGCTTATAAATGCTTGTGAATTTAAGGCAATATCGAGGCATACGCACAGGATGCACATATGCCAATCACAGACTGATCAATTGCAGACTTAAACCTCAATAGGAAAATTCAAGCAAAACAATACCAAATGAATCAGTTCGCCTCTTTTGCATTCTGCCAATGTCATACAACTTTCGTCAAGTTTATTCTGTGTGATTGATAACCATTCTATATCGTGTGTGGCGCTGATTTTTGAACCAACGTGGTGTTCGCAATATGAAGGAATGGAGTTGAAATTTAAGCGTGCAGTATACGTGCTTGTGTGTTAGTTCTGCGATAAATGAACAGGTTACATTTAGTTTTTGCAATTTATCACTATTGTTTCGATCACTTTATTCAAATAAACAAATAACCCGTACAGATTAATGATATTAGATAATGAGGAACGTGGAGGAACAAGTCAACGTGGGGAATAGCATCTCACCATCACTTGAATCTGTTTAGGTTTATTTTTGTTAGGCTCGTCAGTTATCTTACGAACAATGATGGCGTGGGATTATAGTCTAATTCGTTTCATTAGATTAATAGACCTTATTCTAAAATTGTCGGTAAGTCATCATGTGACTGTCTTATCTATAAGATCATAGTCGGAAGTTACATCATTGACTACACTGATCCATAGTATCATAACAATTAGCAATATGGTGTCTGAAGTTTCTAAAGCAAGACTAGTTAAACATAATTACCACGTCTGCAAGGCTGAGCCATGCCGCCTGATTGAATTGAATTGAATGTTACCGCGTTCCACGACGAGTGACCTGAATTAGATGGCTGGTGGTGGTTATATTGTCTACGCATAGCTGAAGCCAAAATGTCTGTTGAACTAACTGTCAAAGTATTTGTTTTTATCAAGTTTCCTTTATAAAAATGTGCTAATTTCACTCACATTTGTTCGGTGGGAGTGGGTAATTAATGAGCACATATACAAAGGCGCATAATTAGAATGTGATACTCTTCATTAATAACAAAGGATGATATTGTACTAGCACCACAATTGAATAGTACACCTTATATGGTTAAGTAGATAAGAACATGGTGATATAAGATAATCACTATAGTTTGTAATTCATTTCAATAGTTTAGATATTAGTTTGTAGAATCATTAACACTTTTCTATGTACCCAGTTATGTAGTCAGTTATGTAATGATTTTGTTGCTATCGTTGTTTTGTTTTAATTTAATAAACTAATAAACATAATTTTCATTAGATATGTGGTTGTTTTCATTTGATCAAGGCTGAAGGTCCTGAGTTTGTATCCTGTAGGCGGGATTATGGATGTGCACTGTTGAGGATACATTAAGTTAGTGTGTAAGACTACTGTGAGTGTTCACTGTTGAGAGGTCTCATGCTAGGATATGCCAACCATCAAGTTATTCTAGTATTTCAATGGGAGTCCGACGTAGATCGATCACTACTTTGATGAACTTTCGGCTGAATTGAATTCAGTTCTCCTTCCGATAATATTCTAATGATTGCAAATTCTTGTGTTCTCAGTTGCTCAATTGTATTCAAGAAGATATAAAAAGGTATATTAAGGCATGCATTTTATAAAAAACGGATCGATTTGTTTGTTTCTTTATAACTGATGAAGGATCAGTGTTGTACTTGACATAGTATGTTGAGGAGTAGAAACATTATTTGGATTAGTAGAGTGAAATAATGGAAAAGAGATATAGAACATGAGAAGTGTAATTCAATCTACTTTGATGAAAGTGCTGATATGCACTAACTAATCTGAGATGCAAGTACATTCAGCTGACGAGTCTCAAATCGGACGAAACGCGCGTCCTGGGTTCTACTGCTAGCCACTATTCATCACTGCTTATAAATAGCTTGTGAATTAAGTTAAAATCAAGGCATACGCACAGTATGCACATATGATAATAAGAGACTGATCAATTACAGTCTTAGAGCTCAATAGTAAGATACAAGCCAAACAATACCGAGTGAATTCAATTCAGCCGAAAGTTCATCAAAGTAGTGATCGATCTACGTCGGACTCCCATTGAAATACTAGAATAACTTGATGGTTGGCATATCCTAGCATGAGACCTCTCAACAGTGAACACTCACAGTAGTCTTACACACTAACTTAATGTATCCTCAACAGTGCACATCCATAATCCCGCCTACAGGATACAAACTCAGGACCTTCAGCCTTGATCAAATGAAAACAACCACATATCTAATGAAAATTATGTTTATTAGTTTATTAAATTAAAACAAAACAACGATAGCAACAAAATCATTACATAACTGACTACATAACTGGGTACATAGAAAAGTGTTAATGATTCTACAAACTAATATCTAAACTATTGAAATGAATTACAAACTATAGTGATTATCTTATATGAATAAGAATTAGTTATGTTGATAATAATAAATCAACTTGTAAGATGTTTCTGTCGATGATGGCAAGTTGCATTTATTGTGGTTGAGATTATCTAAACCATATGACAAATCCAATACATACACAAAGAGTGTATGCACCTGCGCCATTGCAAACCATTTTCAGCCTTGTCATTCAAGGTCTCTAACCATCGGTTGCTTTCATCTCGCGGTCCCCAACCAGGTAGTCTACACCTACCAACATGACTCAGTCCACTTGTCAGTGACTTCATGGACTTGTACCATGTTTTGGTCTGACGGCCACTAGCTTTCTTCCAATTTACTCCTATACCACTAAACATCGCACATCGAGGCAGTCGGTGGTTGGGCATACGTAACGCGTGTCCCAGCCATCTCAACTGATGAAGTTTCACTACGTCATCAATTGAGTTTCCATCCTTACCTAGTACCCGTTTCCTAACAACTGCATTACTTACTCCATGGTCCCAGGGTATACGAGCAATGTTTCGAAGACACCTATGATCGAATACTAGTAACCTACGAATATCCTCTACTCTTACCGGCCATGTTTCACTGCCATAAAGTAGGACGGAACGAACTGCTGCGCAGTAAACACGTCCTTTGGTTGATAGACGGATATCTCGCCTACGCCATAAATGACGCAAGTTGGCAAAAGCTAGTCGAGCCTCTGTATCCGTGCTGAGATTTCGTCACACACTAAACCACAAGGACTGATGAGACTTCCAAGATAAGTGAAGCGATCGACACGCTCAATTACATCACTCCCTATCATTAGTTCGGGTGTCAATGCAACCCAATCCTGAAGCAACAATTTGCATTTCGAGGGAGAGAATCGCATCCCGAACATGCCTGCATTGTTGTATATATATATATATATATATATATCAGTTTAGGGGTTATGGAGATGGTTAAGTTATTGATTGAGATCATGAACTGATTGATATTAGACTACCATTGGAAATCTGGAATCAATGGACAGCCGTTTCGTCCTATTGTACGACTGCTCTACAGTGCCCATCCACGAATCAGCGCTGAAGAGTATTTGAACGCATAGTCTTCTGTCTCGCTTGCAAACGGGTAACCTACTGGACTACTGAGCCAGCCGACATCTAATGGTGTTAATGTTTAAACGTAGCCAACCCACGAAATAGAAACACGTGTATACCACAGTACAATGGAAGATGGTCGCGCAATTTCATGGATTGTGAATACGCACTGCTGAAGAGTCGCACAATAGAAGGAAATGGGTGACCATGGCTTCTAGATATTCGGTGGTGGTCTAACATCACTCGGTTTGCGATCTCAATCATATATATATATATCATTACTATATGAAGTATGATTATTGATATCCGAAAAAGAAGAAAACTATTGAGTTGAATGGTTACTTACAGCCGTATGACATTCCTTTGCTATCCAATAACCAGCATGTCTATCAAGACCATTAGTACATTTATTCACTTTTAAACACCAATGACATGTCTTAGTAACTTTGGATGCAGATAGACATGTTTCTTTTGAATCTTCCATGTAACAACTTTCTGTCAAATAAAAAAGAAAGAGAACAAGATGATTGTATTACAAGTGATTGAATAAAAGGAAAATGATGTATAAACAAGGAGCTGAATAGTCTTTTTAGTTACTCATTGTACACATTGATACGAATGTAATTCATCTCATTTTGTGAAAATTGTCAGTATTATTTGGTACTGTGTAAATATCATGAGTCTCGCAAGGGGGCGAGGTCGTGGTTTCGCACTGTTGCGGAGTCCCATTATAGAACGAAATGGCCATCCAGTGCTTCCAGGTTTCTCATAGTGGTCTAGTTTCAACTGACTCATGATTTTAACTATTGAAATCACTATAATATTTACAAAACCCATTTGATATGACCAAATTACAATTTGAACATGATACTTGCCTCTATCTTCAATTTACCATATCACTATGCTAAAGTTAAGATATCTGAAGGCGTTATATAATAATTCTATTCCATTACAACTCAGCCATTTCTATTGCTTAGTACCCTTGAATATCAATTCACTCGACTAGTCCCCAAATCAGAACACTGTCGAACAGGAAAATGATCATACTCTAACTAACAAGAGGTAGATGAAATTAAGAAGAATCACAATAGAAAAATCCATAGTATATTGATGGTTTTTGCATGAGGCTATTCTAGAATGAACTCCAAGTATCGACTAGCACTGGTTAGATATGAGTAGTTCAATCAGTGTGCACCAATGCACTCGGGTATTGAGCATGCTTTCATCCAATCTATGTCCCACTAGTAAAGGTGTTAATTTTATCGAAGCGTCCAAGTAACCCCGATTGAGATACGCGCAAAATCAAAGTTCAAAAACAACGATTTGTCTACAAAAGCGGTTCTTTATTAAATAATACACAAAATTTAGTTACAAACCTCAACTTGTGAGGTGTCTAGGCGTTTAAACGCGTCGTTCAAGAATGAAAATAGCAAAGGCTTCCTGTAAGAGTAACATAAAGAATGATTACAACATACGATAATCCAAAGACAGCCGATAGCTGTGTCTAAATTTGATAACAGTTTATGAACAACCGAAATTCGAACCAAGAGCAAACAATATGGAAACTGTTGCGTTTAAACAAATGCATAAAACTGTGGATAACCGTTACAGTAATTAAATTACAGTGATTATAATGATAAATATAATGATAAGTAAAATAAACGTTAAGGATATATGTGAACATTTCAGAATGTTACAGTACAACCTGAGTTACAACATAATTGTGAAAGTTGTTGGGCATACAACTGCTTACTGAATATAAATAAGTAGTATAAACCAACATACAAAAAAGTAGGAAAGGAATGAGCAGGAACAATGTAAAACAAACTTAACAAAAGGTAATTGCAATCCTATAAAATATTACTATTATTTCAGTACTTGAGGAATGTTCGATATCATGTGCATGAAATGAAAGAGCAATGGCACACTTCCTTGTCACAATGCATCCTCAACTAACTGTCAATAAATTTCATTGGTGGAATGTATTCACGTATCGGTCGTTCTGTGACACTACGATTACGTATTATTAAACAAAACAAAGACTAAAATATCAATCAGATTTGATCTATCACGGTGAATGTTCAATGGCCAATCAATAATGAAGTTATTCATAGTGAGTAGAACGTTCGTTGAGATAGACGGCTGTTCATGTGTGCAAATGATCAATACTGATGAAATCATTTATTACATACCTGTATTCGGTTCAAACTCCACCAAAGTATGTTGTTTGATGAAGTGTACTGGAATGTTAATTCGATTGTACGGTTCGAAGATAGACTCTGATTGAATAAGAGAACAAACACTTCAATTCATGATTACGATTGAAATTAGGACAAGTAGTGTGTATCACTTAACTTGTGAACAAAATACGAGACACGGTTGAGTTTGAATGAAGTGGAGGTCATTCAACATCCCAAGACACTGTGTTTGTTTCCTAACAAGTTATGTCACATTTCGGATTACAACAAGTCAACAATAGAGATTTACAGTTTAGTTTCAATATAGTTCATTACAGTTCTTCAATATTCGATAGACGTCGTCCGAAACGTCGAGCACCTTCATCAGTGACTCACACTGTGATTCTTAATTACACGAGATCCTTGAGTATCGATTTATGAACTATGAACATAACACTAACGTTGATTTATCGTAAAACAATAAAGTTCTGAAAAGTGCTCCTCACACAAAAAGCATTCCGACTTTATTCTGCTAATTTATTAATAATACTCCAATGACATTTCGATCAGTTTATTATTACACAAAGAAACAATCGACCGATGTAGACTGTAAGAAACTGCTATTAAGTCACTGTACAAGGCTAGAGTAGATCTTCATGACAGCAGTTGGATAGCTGTTTGGAGATAGAAAGTAATACGACCTCGACAGGTGATTGTCGATGTACATCACTGTACGTCGAAACATTCATAATGGTCACGATAAAATGTTTCTTACTGTTCATTTTATTATCTATACAACGGTGTCGATAATCGATCCACGATTCCAGAACAGTTGCGTTAAATTCTACGGGCATCTGAAAATAAACATAGGAAATATGAAATACGATATCTGAACAAACAGCCGCCTACATCAAAAGCAACTAATCACTTCAGTAGTTTGTCAACATTCAGGTAATCATATTCAAACACAACTAATCACATTCACAGTAGGCATGCGAATATTATCAGTTTCTTTTCAAAGATGTTTCGCCTACACTACACAGCTATTCTGACTTAGTAATCAACTTCAGTAAGGTCTGATGTACAATCTGTTTATCATGGAATGATTCGATTCAATGGTACATGAATATCTAAGTCTGTTAAAATGTGATGTGATTTGGAATAGCTCCAAAAATACTAGATAATGTTACCAGATTACTTCTCATCATTGACAACACATTCAGTTTACAACATGTCATCGCTACTTTCATTGGACCATATTAAAATGAATCAACAGTAACTGTATTCAACATAGTTGAAACATCAAATGACGACATTGAAATAACTGCATACTCTGAATTGATCAGCTATTTCATCAATTAACTATCATCAAATATTCTACGGTTGTCATTTCGAGTAGCTTGTATCAAGAGTATGTGATTGGTTCAATGGAAACAATTATTATTATTATAACCAAGTGTACCAGTGATTGTTTTACTGTACTTTTTTGTTTAACTGTACTAAAGACGTTCATTCTTCCGTCGATTGTGACCTTGCACGAACTTACGTCTGCTCAGTGATTCCGCTTGTACTCCTTTGGCACGATCTCGGTATTCTTTCAACACCTCGAGATCATCAACATTCTCGCTACAACCTCCAATCGCCTACTCATATCTGGTATGCAAACTTCTTGTAGTGGTGATCATAGTCAACTGCGATTCGACGCCATTCGACAAGCTTATCATTGTAAAATAAAATAATACTTATCTAAATTTGACTGTTATCGCAATCCACTGTGATGTATAAAGTTTGATAATAATCCGTGTGGATACATCATCGCTTCCTTCAACATAACATAAAAGCTTGCTCTGTTTTCCTCATATTTAGTGTATCTAGATACACTCGACATTACTCATGTAAATGTGAACAGCAAATTGAAATAACATTACATCTCCATTCAATAGTACAACTTACATTCTCAAAGTAAATAGACATCTTCCCATTTGGATATATCAGATACTCTACTTCACCTGCTACATTTACGAAATGGACACGATCGTTACACAGAATATGAAGAACAATTAATAAACATGTTATTGTTGCATTCGACATTGTATATACCAACTCATTGTGTGATCACATCTGTTTACATCAAGTCATAATGAACACATTGAAGTGAACATGATGTCAATGAAAGGAAGATGTATCCTTCAAAATGACTGTAAGATATCTAGTTCTCAAATGTGCATCAATCTGTCATTTTTACATTGAAACAATGAATCGTCAGATTTTCAATCAGATCTAATATTCCAAAAGATAGATATCCACATTGACGCAATATTTCCTATTTCTCATTCGAGATCAATCAACCTGATGTGGACAATCCATCAAAAGTAGTGTAGTGAGAAGATAATATTGATGAAAATCAGAAGTGAGCTGAAGGACATGTGGATTTCATTGTGCAAGAAATGTATGCGTTTCTTGAGAATATGTGTAGTCGATACATGATAGAGTATTTATGGATATTATGTAGCGTGGCGTCGAGTTGAGGTTAACTATGAATATCGCTACAAAGAAACACGTGCCAAGTAGATCAGAAGGTGTAAGAAGCTCGTTCCAAATGACTCCATAAAATCCTCGAGAAGCCGAATACCAGAAGGCAATTATTGGACCAAGTCGATGTTTATTTGCTGGCGATCTCGTGGCATCGAAAGGATACCGAGATCGTGCCAGGATACAAGCTTGGTTACAGAACGTAACCCAATTCGCGCGAAGTTACAATCAAAGTGTAAGTAAGAGAATGGAAGCACAAAATAGCTGTCATTAGCACAGTCAAACAAAAGCACATTAAAACAAACACTGGTACAGTTGGTTATAATAATAATTGTTTTTATTAAACCAGTCGTGTTCTCGTGATGAATGTGAGTCACTACAATTATTTCTCAGTCAAGTGCACTTTCTAACATACCACTCCTGTGTTGTCGCTCAACATGTATCAATATCTAGTCTCGGAAATCTACCAATCCTCTCATTAAGTTTCATTTGAGTTTGTCAACGAAAATGATTCTTTACAATCGATTTTCCACAGGGATAATATCTTTTGAAATGTTAATACTCTTATTCGAGCATCTAGCGTATTTTCAATTATATCAGATAAATTGAAGAGGGAAATTGTGAGTTGTTTCAGTGAAGGAATGGTATAAATATCGAAAGTTCAGATGTAATCAAACAATCATTATTTGTTTACTTATCATTAGAATATGCATCCCTCTGAAGATACCATGAGACAGCGATTAATTCGTCTGATAAAATGAAAATCAAATGAGTGTTTATGTGCATGAATATTATATATCTATCTCTTTTATTAAACATACATTTTAACACAGAATGAGTTTGAACATATGTCATGATCTTCCCCTCAAGATTTGAGTAAACGGATGCTGTTGAATGACCAATCATCAACCTTATGATGCGGTTTCAAAGATTAATAATTATGATGAACATTTCAATTCAAACAATGGAGAAGAATATTTTACTCCTATAAGGTTGGTTCTAGGAACTTTAGATTAACTCATGGAATTCACAAGTTCTTCCAGCAACAGTTACGTGAAACCATCACAACTTTTATAAATCCGATAGAAAAAACCTACCCTCAATTAAGTTAATTATCGATGAGAAATGTTACTTCGACGTCAATAATTGTATCGAATGACCGAAATAGATGAAATTGAACTGAGAAATTCTACTTCAGTTCACACCCTGGGTGTTCTATTTTAAGGAAATCATTTTGTCGTAAAGGGACTATTCATCGTCGTTCTTTTGATGCGCTATTTCAGGGAAAGACATTAGTTCAAACTTCATAATCATACAGATATGATGATTTAGAAAGTGTTGAATATCCTATGGTCTGCAGGCAAAAACTAAGAGACATTAAACTTTTATGAACCACGTAAGTGCTAGAAAAAAGACGGAGGACATTAAATACATGTTATTAGTTTATTTATCTCAATAATACAATCTGCCATAACGCAGGATTTCACGTATGTTGCCCATGTGGTTGGTTAGATTCATTGAATCTACTGAGAATTATCGAGATGTTGTAATATAGTTCTATAGTGCTATAGTTCAGATAGTTTGGAACCTATGTCATGGTAATTTTCGGTTATTTCTCATCAATAAATTTGTGTTTGTTTAGAGGTGAATCCTTGTCATATTTAACATTTGTACTTGACAGTAACCCATACATATTGTGAACAAATCTTCTGATACTGAAACACATAAACCAATACAATCATTGCGCACTGGTCAGCTCTTGTCAATCCCTTTTATTAACATAGTTGACAGACAATGCTATTCGAACAGTAACGATTCGCATATTTCTCTGTACCATTATGATCACTACCATATCTGTATACACATGTACCTTCGTGACAAGATAGTCTATAGCTTAAATGTCGTCCATGAATCATTCTCTTTCTCACGTATAACATGGTACTCCAATCCTATTATTAGCCTTTACCTTGACTAGCTGCATCCTATTCAATTTGACAATAACTTTACCTCTGTATTTTCTCGCACACACACACACTTTCTCCTTACTGTACCGAATTCGCTCGAACTGCTTATTCGCTTTGTTATACGGACTATCCGCCAATAAACTGTAATTAGCACTTCTTATTGTCTTCTGATTTCACATAACATTGAGATTTATATCATAACGGTTACAAAGGTGATTGATAAACGATGCAAAGACATTACAATATACAGTTCGGAATGATATTTTACAGTGAATGAATGAACAGTTTTTCAATGAACTGGGGTGATTAAAATCAACTACAGCATATGTAATTCGTTTATTGTAAGAGGTTGAACGGCGAGACTCTAATTGATGGACAAGCCAATCAGAGGCGTTTGAAGGATTTCAAGGTTACGGTGCCAACTACAGTGCTTAATGCTAACGTACAATGGGTTCACAAGGAATTTTGTGAAAACGTGATAGTTGAGCAGCTATAACAAATAAAACGCAAGACTGTAATTTGTGGATGCATGAATCAGGTATAAGATAATAGATCTCGGGTTTGGGCATGAAAGCCTTTCATCCATTTTGGCATTATAGCTGATGTCAGTTTGTGGTGAAAATCCTAAATCTAATTCCTTCACCTAATAATCAACAGTAGATTTGAATCATAATTCTTCAAACTGATCTATAAACCTCATTAAACATTAGTCTATCAGTGGATGTCATCAAGATTACTTTAGTGTTGCTCAAAGATTGTCCGCAATATATAGTCTCACTCAATTGTAAGTTTAAGCAAAGATGGTCCAATGTGATTAACAGAACTCAATATAAAGAAGATGATTATCTTACCAGAATTTATAATTGACAATTACTTGACTATTTTACCGTAATATTTAAACTGGAATTTGGGTTTAACTATCTAAAAATAAACACACATACATTTGTATTAGTACCTTTTATTACAAAATATAATCAACTTACTTTAACGGGCGAAACTCTGGAAGATATGGAGTCCTTCACATACCTAGGAAGCATCATCGATGAACAAGGAGGTTCAGATGCAGACGTAAAGGCGAGGATCGGCAAAGCAAGGACAGAATTCCTAAAATTGAAGAACATATGGAACTCAGAACAACTTTCAACCAATATCAAAGACAGAATCTTCAATACGAACGTCAAGGCAGTTCTACTGTATGGAGCTGAAACTTGGAGAACTACAACAACCATCATCAAGAAGGTGCAAGTATTTATAAATGGTTGTCTACGCAAGATACTCAACATCCATTGGCCGGATACCATCAGCAATAGCCTTCTGTGGGAGAGAACAAACCAACTTCCAGCTGAAGAAGAAATTAGCAAAGGACGATGGAAATGGATAGGACATACATTACGCAAATCGTCAAACTGCATCACGAGGCAAGCCCTAACTTGGAATTCTGAAGGGAAGCAAAAAAGAGGAAGGCCGAAGAACACATTGCGTTGGATAATAGAAGCAGATATGAAAAGGATGAATAAAAACTGGACGGAGCTAGAAAGGATTGCCCAGGACAGGGTTGGATGGAGAATGCTGGTGAGCGGCCTATACTGCTTTACGAGGAGTAACAGGCGTAAGTAAGTAAGTACGTTTAACGGGTTGTTCACTTCCATTTACAGCAGGTAAGGGCTGATCAAGTTGAACTCTTTGAAAATATTCATAATGATCAGACTACGTATGTGAAATGAATATCGAACTGGTCACTTACATAACTGTATGAATCATTTTGAGAAATGATCATTTCATATTTGATATCTTTGATGTGTCCACAAGTGTTCTGACAATCGAACAGCTTGATAAGTACAACAAAGACCAAGTAACAAGATGGAAGAGTAAATCTGAAATATTTCAAATATATATCACATTATTTATTGGGTTTCATCACATCGAAATGAGTATGATGCATTCACATTTATTACAAACATCCCGTTGACACTCACCTCATCTTCTTGTTTGAGACACAGTAGAATGATATTAAAAATAACTTCTCAGGTTTATATAGACTTCTGTTTGAGTTCACTTTGCTTCTGTATGATTCGATGATTCAAAACAACCAATGAAAAGATCATGTGTAACAAATGTATGTGTTTATTATTAATCAATAATTACACAAGATGGACTTCATTGTTGTTCAATATTCTTCTTGCTATTCAGGATGGATGCTGACAATTATCCACAAGTGGTTGAAATTCTTTACCTTTATGGATGGAATATTTTTGGATATAATAAGAAATACTTGGTTAACTTGTATTGCAAAATATATGCTCATCTGTTGTACAATAAACAGTTTGTAGATCACCAACGTAGATGATCTATGTGGAAATGATTGTATGCATACTCGAGGTAAACGTGAAATGTGTGACGTCGAAGTCAAACCACGTGGTCAGGAACTTACGTGAACTACCCCATTCACGTATCAAGGTATGGACATAGAAAGGGGAATGAAAGGTTGCCTAATGATCACGCATACTATCGTCTCTACAGAACGCCTTTCTGATAAAATTTTATGTGATCTCCATTGAGTGCCTTCAAGAGATGTTTCCTGGAATTTCAGTGAGAAACCCCGACTAGTGGAGTTCAATTGTGTCTGTTGTGAGATAGAAACTTACTGAAGACAATGAGAAACAGTGGAACAATTTTGCGGATTCGCTGATGTCAGAGGTTAACACTGTTGATAACAG